TCTCTCTCTCTCTCTCTCTCTCTCTCTCTCTCTCTCTCTCTCTCTCTCTGTGTGTGTGTGTCTGTCTGTCTGTCTATACTTGTGGTTGAGGGGTTATGTAACAGTACCTGACATTTAGCTACATGTAGTGTGGATCTTTGTCTTGTTGGCAAATAGAAAACTTGGCTTCTCAATACAGTAAAAATAAAGTCAAATTCCTCCCCTGGGTCTGTATTCTTCAAGTGCCATATTTCTTGTTTTCTACTCTGATTCTCAAGTCCATTTTCTTTAAGATACTTTCTCTGATCAACTTCATTAATAATATCCTGAACCTGGAATTCTATTTGCCTAGACATTGACTAATTTTTCTCTATGACATCTATCTCATCTTTAAACTTCTATTTATCTATTTAGTGTTGTAGTACATACCTCTATCCTCACACTCAGGAGGTGGAGGCAGTAAGATTGTAAGATTGAGGCCAGTTTTGGGATATTGCCCTAGTATATTTCCTATTGCTGATAGACATCATGACAAAAATCAATATGGGAAGAAAGAGATTATTTGGCTTACATGTCCCAATCAAAGTCTGTCATTTAGGTAAGTTGGGGCAGGAACTGAGGCAGAAAACATGGAACAAAGCTGGCTACTAGCTTGCTCTTTTTGGCTTGCTCAGTTTACTTACAGGACTCAGGAACAACTTGACGGGGTGGAGTCAAACACAATGGGCTGGCGATCTCTACTTCATTAATCAATAAAATGGGCCCTGTGACTGCTCACCAACTGCAAAGTCACAAACCTAGTTTCAGATGCTCAGCATATTAACCCTCTTTGTTAGTGAGCCATCTTCCTAGGTAAATGGATGGATTAGCAAAAGATTATATTGAATGAATGAGCCCAGATCCAAAAATGCAAATGCTACAAGTTCTTCACATCTTCTGTTTATAACTCACATTCTTTGAATGTGAGTATAAAACATGGAGGAACAGATAAGCATGGAGGAGGTACCTAGCATGACTGGATACCTTGATCTGTATGTGTAAGTGGGACTCTCGTAGTATGTGTTTGTGGGGCTTTGGATGAGTGGGAGGAAATGCATGGTAGATCCAGACACAACTGTGTATGTGTATGAGAGGCTTTGGTGACAGGAGAGGACATGTAGAAGGAACTGCATCTAGATTCCTGTGTCTGACTTTGATTATAGAGGATACCATGTAGGAATTGACATCTAGCTGTGTGTGTGTGGGGGGGGATTAGGAATTGGGGTGAGTTTGCAACTAGCAGACCACACAAATAGCCCCATTTCAGGGAGTTTTGCCTGCAGGGAGGAATTATCATGAAAAGCCAGACACATAGCCATGCATGTATTTGTGATGCTTTAGTTGTAGGGCTTAGACTTGTGCGCGCGCACGAGTGTGTGCGTGCGTGCGTGCGTGCGTGCGTGCTTACTGAGTATTTTGTCACTGGGGTGGGGGTACCTATGTTGGTGTATTGAGCCTTTGAATTGGAGAAGGAGGTACCTATTAGGACCTGATACCTAGTTCTGTGTGTGTGGTCTGTTTAAGGAAGAGGATGCCTAGCAGGATCTGAAACATAGACCTGAGTGTGTGGCTTCAGCTCGCTCTCTCTCTCTCTCTCTCTCTCTCTCTCTCTCTCTCTCTCT